AAAAAAAAAAAAAAAAAATCACCATTAAATCCCTTTATGATTTTAGTTTCTAATAAGTCATATATATATTAATATCTGTTATATAGAAACTATATACGCAAATTTACCCAACAATTTCTCATATCCAGAATACAAACACAATCCCTACGCAGACCGCAAATATGAATTTTGTGCAGACCAAAAAAAATAAAAAAAAATTGTTAAATCATTACATCAATATATGATACATTTCATGCTCCAAACTACCCAAACTTACATCGGAAAATTGTTGTGGGGAATCACCTCCTAATAGTAATAGATAGTACATGGCCCCAAAGGCCCAAAATGTAATAGAGCTGCTACTTGGCAAGTACATGAACAGGTAGACTACGAATGTGAATGGAAGAACAGATAAGACAACAAATGCGCGTGATACGAAAATTATGAGTGCCTCTCTTTGCTTCAACGAGACAATCAAACTTAAGCGGTTGTCAACAGTGGACCCTCCGGAAATCCAACAAATTTTACAGAACCGTCACCACCGCACGTGAGGAAACCATGAGTGACGACCTGAATGTCTGTAACTCCAGCCTGCAAAACCAGAGATGACACTCATTTAGTTCATTGGAAACATTGGGCGCTCTTTAACACCTCTCAAAATTCCATTCAAAAATTCACAATTCAATGGTTCTACTAAGAGACAGATGAGAGTTGTTTTATGTTATAACATAATTCATCAGCATAAACAAAAAAAAGGGGGTTAGGAGTATTTGTAAAATTTATAAAGATATTTTAGTTCAACTAAAACCTCATAACTACTAGTTATTGACACTATTCCCAATTCTGATTTGATTGCATTAGAATTACCCGGACAACTCCGCCAAAACCACGAGAGCTGGGTTGCAGAAAGGTGTGCCTTTCATGCAGTCTTGGCCAGTGAAATACCAACTTGGCCCTCTTTGCATCCCAAAGTTTTACATCTCCATCCTTGCTTCCCGTAAGGAAAAAGCTCGTATTCGGAATTGTAGATATTTTGGTGACACTCCCTTTAAAACAAAAAGTAAGAATTAGTGAGGTGAAACTTTCAATCATATTTTAACAGTATTCAAGTGTTACATCAATCACATTACCTGAGTGAGCCTTTGGTATGTACCATAACATCCCATTTCTATTTTGGTCCCCAGTTTTGCTTCGCATATCAACTGAAGACGAGGCATTGATGCTGTGGTCCCCTGTTTCAACATGCTTGTGTTTCTTTGTCCTTCCTGTGGCTATGTAACGGAAGTCATGAAGTCCAACATCACCACTTTTCCCCCCGGTTAGAATTAGGGGAGAAATTGAACCGCTTCCTATGTCATTATCAAAAACGGAAAGGGACCGGGCGCCGCCTAGAAGTAGAACAACATAAATGGATAGGAAAAGTATAATTAAAGAACACATCCATAGGAACATAAAAGAACTAACCATCGATCTTAGCTATACATAAGAAAATAACTCCTTTAAGCATCTACTTTGAAACTTCTAGTTGGTACTGCTTTTTCATAAACCAAATGCAGTTTTAATCACCACGTAAATTTTACCAGGGAAACCATGCTTTTTACTCGACTCACACTGAAGCCAATAGCGGGAAGCACTGGAACTATGATAAGAAACAAGACAAAGTAAATACTCAATTGGGGATTTTAGGAATTTTTGCCTTA